ACATTTATACCTCGCCTCACATCTGATATATGAAGACTTTGTGACTAGGATCGGCTCATGAAATTGTCATGGGTAGAGCGCATCCTCAACCACAAATACGAGCGGTTCAACCTTTCAGTTCCTACCCTGGCCCCCAGATTGAACCATATGACCCTGGCCTCTCAGCTTAGGAACGATTTTTCTTCTGTGATGATGTAGTTGTAGCAACTGAAAACTTTATCGTATCTTATCTATGGAGTTTTGAATTTCGCGATATTCCTTGTGCCGTGTTCTACAGAAAGCGATGACGTCCAATCTAACTGAATTCTCCTAACAAGTTAATGAAACGAGTTCCAGGTTGTTGTTGCTGCCTTGTACACTTCCCATGAAATTGCCTTACGAGCGCTTGCTGAACTTGCCCCTAATCATCCGAATCCTCTTGACTACGTTTGTGACGAGCTGTTGGGTTGCGCCAAGGACATCAAGGGCGTCCACAACAGGTAAGCAGTTGTGGGTCATACCCTGTTCATCGAAGCTTTCGAGGAGAACTACTTTTTATGTTCAGGAAAATGGCATTGTTTGGAATCTGTGCCTTCTTCAGCCTGCCCAGGGAAGCAAGGCCGAACACCGTCAACAATAATCCGCAAAGGGTTTGTATATTCTTGCGTTCTTTTATTTATTTTTTTTTTGAACGCAGTGAATTTTGATTTTTGCAAATGAGTTAATGTGGAGCTATTGTGGCTGAGAAAGAATAGTTATGCTAGTGTTACGTCAGAGTTATGATCCTTTATCACTCAGTACGGCGTTCAGCGCACCGAACTTGTTCAGGTGATCACGGTGGCCATTTCGATTTTCGAGAATTTGCAACGTGCCTTGAAGATTCAAGCTGAGAATCGAAACGAGGACGACTCGGACAATGGTAACAATAAAAATTACAACGTCGTTCGAAACGGTGACATTTCTAGACGTTCTATGTTGTTGTAGATTCGGAAGAAGAAAGCGATGATGAGACGGATAATGTGATCAAGAAGAAAAGCCTACATCGTCGAAAACTTCCGGAACATTTGTCGGACGATGATGATGAAATCGATGAGGTCGGTATAGGCGGGCATTTTCCCATTTTCTCACTCATTCTAATCCTGTGTTTCTAGCTGACTTTTGACTATCTCGATGCTATGTCAAAAGAATCCAAACCAGCTGGAAGCGACGGTGAGGAGGATGACAGTGAAAGCTCTTCGTCGTTCTGTGAGGTCTGTATTTTATCTTACCCTCCATACTTTCAGTTCTTTTACGCGTGATTCTCCTAACTTCATTCCACTTCACTTTAGGAAACGGATACTGAGCAGTTCAAGACCGCATTTGATGAGGAAACTGCTCCAGATGTGTTTGTATATTTCAAAAACACTATGGAAAGTAAGTATTGATGTCATCAATAAAAGACTACACTTATCTCCGGTTATTTTGTAGCTAACTGATTTGCAGAATTCGAGCAAGGTGAACCGGAAATTTTCCAAAATATGGTTCGCAATTTGACTCCTCAACAGTCGCAGTCTCTTAATGAACTCATTACGGTTAGTGTGCGGTTTCACTAAGAATGTAATGGAACTTTCTGAACTTTCTATCAATGGATTACTGGATGGATATTGATGTCCTTCATTTCAACCGGATTTATAGTCGGCGATAAAGTGTAAATACTTTGAAGTGATCGAAACCATCGATCCGAAATATCGCCTCCCAAAGTTGATCTTTCACAGTAATGAAATGGTATCTTGTTGTAATAAGTAAATGTACCATTCTTCTCATCATATTGTATAGTAATTCTTCAGGTCTGTGAACAGCATGTGAAATCAGAGCATTCAAAGCAAGTGGAACAGGCCGGTGGATATGATTTCAAAGCGGCTGCTGCAGTACCGACGGAATTTAACTTCGCTAAATGACCGCTCATGTCGTTCATATGTATCCCTTCACTAAATGGATGCTAGAAATAGAACGGTTTACTCGATGTGATTCTTGTTTTGCCTTGTTTGTTCATTTGTTACACTATCATAATAATCAGTTCTTTGGTGATAGAAAAACGGCTTAGCTTCCTTTTCGAGTGTTGTGGGTCTTTTACTCATGGAAGTTTCCGCAAAATATTTGTCTGCGTGCTAAAAGTTATGCCTGTAGAACCGTGAATTGAGCGTCGTTATTGTTCCAGCGGTTCTTTTGGAAATTGAAGGTGTCCCGGAAGGAAATCGTTCATTTGTGGTCACCCAGGCTACCATCGTCTGCTTGGAGTAGGAAATTTCTACTCGTTTAAGAAAGAGGAGAATAGATTCATATAGAAAAAAGCAGGAACCAGGAGACCATTTGTAAGAGGCCTCCCACGAGTTGAAAGACCCTTGCAGTAAGTGTTGTGTTTCAAAATGGGAGGATATCACGGCTATTGCTTTCCTCATGTCTGAGATTGTTGCTTGTTGTGATTTCCTTAATTTTGTTGAAGCCTTTTCATTGCTGTATGGCAAATCAGAGTTCCGATTCTTCCTGTAAATGTTGTTTCAGTCATAGCCATCGTTTGGCTGATTTTTTTCATAGTTGATGTGTTAAATAGCCTGATTGCCATCAGATGTTGTTTTAGGTTTTTCTTTTCATCGAGCTCTACCATTAAGTTGAGTTTTATTAATGTACGCTGTTTTAGCACTGACAAGTGTTGTGATATGTGATCAGAAAATTACTCATGTTAATGAAANNAAAGCGTACATGCGTTAGTTAATTGTTGATGGTAAAAATGCTTGTTGTTAAGACCTGTGTTGAAATAAATGTTATGAGTTCTACTGTCTATCTATGGTAAAAAACGGCAAAGAAGGACTAACAATAAATGAATAAGTAGTTTCCTCGTAGAACAATTAGTACTCACGTGGCAGTTGGACCCCAACTTAAGGGTATGACCCAGGATGCGCTGTCGATGACACTGTGAAGAAACTAGGTCACTGGGTACGGTAACTGAGCAGTTTCGGCAGAGAGGATG